GACAACAAAGATTTTCAGACCGAGCTAACATCTAAAACTTTAGGAAACTGAAGGTATCACCAAAATCAAAGTGTTAGGGAAAAAAAATTAAAACTAACGGTTTGTTATCTGTAATGACATGACAATGATTTTGCCAACCTACTGATGACATGGTGCGAAACGCCTTCATTTAATATTGGAACAATGAGCAGCCGCTGTCCACACATCTATTTCTGACCTATCCAGATACTCATCGATCACAAGAAATTCATAAGAAAAGGATTTCCGTTACTCTACAACTAATATGCGAAGGAGAAGACAGGGAAGATGTAGTCTGTTACAGATCAGCTGTATGGCTCTCAACTACGTATCAGGAAATAGTACAACTGTCAATTACGTGAACGAAACCAACTTCATAATGACTGACATGGGTTAGTGTGGTGTTTGAATGAACTAGTAACTTCTTGTTGTTGTTGAATGCTTGATTTCGGATTCTAAATACAATACATTCGTTTGTGCATATTTTAATTCTTGATTCATATACTTCTAAGCATCACAGTGGCGTCGCGAGCAGGATTTGTAATGGAACAGCTAGATATTCATTCTACTTCTGAAGCTTTGGAAGATTATTTGGAAAGGTTTGAAATCTGGATTATGACCAGGAAAGATGTCAAAGATGATAAAATTGTGGCTCATTTCCTAACATTCATCGGAAAAGAAGCGTACAGCTTATTGAAAACCTTGGCATATCCAGAGAAACCTATTTCACTTCCCTATGCAATGCTAAAGGAGTTATTATTGAATCATGTAAAGTGCCCTGGTTTTGAATGCCGTGAAAGAGCGAAATTTCATAAGATGATTCGTCAAAATGACCAAAATGTTAAGGAATTCATTCTTGAATTGCAGAAACAGGCTGTCAAATGTAATTTTGGTGATCAACTTAATGTGCAGCTGAGAGACCGATTAATTGCAGGAATTAACATACCTAGTTTGGAAAGAGAGCTGTTAAGAATGTCAAACTGTTCCTTTCAAGATGTTAGAACTGCGTGCATTAACTACGAGGCGTTGAATGAACTTGATATTCAGTCGATGAAGATTTCCAATACTTTGATTAGTTGTCATGATGAAAAGCAATCTCAGGGTCAATCAAAATTGTGTTCGTTTAACAGAGGTTCCTATTCTCGTGTAAAAATGAACGGTGTCTCAAAAAAGAATTACAATGGAAATCAAAAAGGTGAGACCAAGTTTGGCAAATGTTTATCATGTGGAAAACTTCATTCTCGTTATTATTGTACATTTCGTAATGCTAAATGTTTTAGATATGGTAAGATAGGACACATTCAAGCAGTATGCAAAGCTACTGTTCATTTTGCCTCAAGTAGTACTAAAGCTTGTAATTTAGATTCCAATAATTCAACTGATCCTAATGATCATTTATCTTTGTCTACCATTTCGAAAAGTAATGCTCATATTCAAAAGCGACTATATACATCACTTGGTTCATTTCATGAGTTTATTGTGGACACAGGCAGTATAGAGTCCATTATTTCATTCAAGAACCTGAAATCGTTAGATCCGAACGTTGTGATACGACCCACTGATGTATCAATATTGGGGATTACTGGACACAGACTGCCTATACGAGGATGTTGTGAATTGCTAATAAGAGATGATGATTCCTCATACATACCATGTGAATTCTTAGTTAGCGAAACGGGACTGTCAATACTGGGTTTAAAGAATTTGAAAAGGCTTAAAGTGGAGTTGTCTCTCCTAGTTTCTAAAGAAAATTCTGATGCTTTACTTAAAGATTCGATAGCCACGTATGCCAAGTGCAGTGGAGGTATGAAAACTGTTATTGATTCTATTGCCGCCTCAACATTTAATGAGCTGGAGAGGGGAGTAGATACCTTTCTACTACAATATAGAAATGCCAGACATTCAGTGACGAAAGAGACTCCATCAAAACTATTAAAAGAAAGAATTCTTCGGTCGAATATGAGATGTTTGGAGTCTGCAGAAGTTACATATTATCGTGGCAATGATCTTCGACCATCCACGGGGATTGTTCTGAAGAATGTCGGGAAATCTATGGTGCGACTTCTAGATATCAATGACTTAAGTACACACAATCGACATGTTGATCAAATACAATTCCAAGAGCCAGGTGAGTCTGTTCCAATTTCGGTTGTTAATTCTAATACTAATGAGAGCATTCTAGATAATACAGAGCCTTTATCCAATACACTGTCGGACAGACACAGGATGAATTTGAGAAGAAGACGTACGATTGATTACAGACATATACATTCCAATTTAAGCTGTGGCGGATGTGGTGTTTGAATGAACTAGTAACTTCTTGTTGTTGTTGAATGCTTGATTTCGAATTCTAAATACAATACATTCGTTTGTGCATACCTTTAATTCTTGATTCATATACTTCTAAGCATCACAGTTAGGCAATGAAGATCCTGAGCATCCACACCTCCCACAATTTAGGACAACCTGCTTGACTTTACAAAAGCGTTTGGCCCAATATCGCACACACTCCCCAAAGGAAAAGTTGTAACAACAGGTTGCGCTGTCATTATTTTCTCTTGGATTTGAAATTGCCTAAAAAACCGGATGTTTAAAGTAAGCTCACGAGCTTCAAGGTCTATACATCAGGAGTCAAACAAGGAACCATCCAAAACTTACTACTCAAGTGAAGTTTTATAGCTAACTTCCCCGACAAATTTAGCTCGTATAGTCTGATGGTGCAATGATATGGAGGTCCACAGAGTTGCTGGTGACAATTAAGATATGAGCTGGCATCGGCGAGTGAAACGATGACCAGTTACACAGTCGCAAGATAGCTTGGGTATTTCCTGTAGCCCTTCCCAGTTAACTAGAACGCGAAGTCTAAATTCAACATCAAAGATATGTCATCCACAAGCAGCTCTGTTCGATTATTTTAAGCGTAATGTATGCTGTACAAAAGCGTTCTTGGAAGGGTAATAAACTAGAGCACTAACAGGGAAAATTGACCAACGATTCTTATGAACTTTCCAAGTGTGAAGTACGGAAAGAAGGTGCAGAGGGGCGCTTTTGATGCCTAAGGATGACATTCGAAATTCCATCAATAAATTACAAAATCAAGGAGTTTACTAAGCGATTTCTGGGATCCTGATATTCCTGTAAATATAAACCCTAATATTCGAGATCATTATCTGTGGGTTACAGGAGAATATAAGGTAACGTTTCGGTGCCACACAGAATGGAAAGAACATCAATCCACTACAACACGACGGACCTACCTATCTTTGCGAATACAGTCCCCTTGTAGCGCATACTGACCATGAGACTACAATCTCCCGTATGGAATACCTGTGCGTGACTCACCTTGTTACTTGCCTCCACTTATCATCAGCTCATAATCATAAATCAACCCCATCTGTCTTACTATCATTTCAGTTTACTATATATATATATATATATATATATATATATATATATATATATACTATATATTAATCCCCAGACTAGGTTTTCATACAGTCTACATTAAAATGATGATTGCTTATATCTTGGAGCTTGCTAGATAGCGTAAAATCTGGTCCTTCACTGTAGAAGTATTTCATTGATCTTGTCGCGTTAAAAACATTCTGTACATTGATTTTACAAGAAGGCTTTGGGGTCGACTAAGGTACATTTAGTGGAATTTTGTCGGTTAATCAGACACAAAAATGTTCGGTAAACATCTCTGTCGTGAATTTAGGGTCTTTAATAAACATTCTACCTTTTCTCTCTAAAGAGTATTTAAGTTTATTTCGAAGGCCTGGAATAAGTACAGTAGAATAAAATCTGAAGTCTAACTTAAGCACGATTTTTAGTAGGGAAATTAGTGACTTGATTGAATGAGTCCATCGAAGATGTCCATGAGACCAATATGCACAGAATGATTGTATTACAGTATGCGAATCTAAATATTCCAAACAGTTATTGGTCATGTGAAGATGTCAGAGACGCATAGCTTATTTCCATGACTTATACAAACTTCTCCTTACCCAGTGATTCAAAGGCCAGTCACACCAGAAGTCGGAAATAAAAGGACGTAAAATTATTTATGTTTTAGAATCCAAACAATCTATATTGAATACTTACCATAAGAGATGTAAAACACTGTATACGATCACGTGTGGACTAAGCGTTTTCAGATGGGATTTTTTTCAAGTGAACTGAAGAAATCATTATCAGTGTCGAAAGCTTAAACAGTCATTCATTTCGAAGATTTATTTACTACTAATTATTCAGTCAAGGATGGATTAGGTAGGAAATCGTTTTACGATTCGGGAAGAATAGAGATTTTCAGAAGATGGTTATGATAAAGACCTAATGATTTCTTCTCCTAAGTCCTTTGATACTGCAGGTTGCAAGCAATGTGGCAGGTAATCAGAAGCTTGAATATGACCTTTTGAATTCCGGTGCAACCGAACATAACTAGTTTCTACAAGTCATTTATCCTGAGGGCAAATGAAGTTTAGTGAAGAAAGAAACCAGAATATCTTTATTCACAGTTATATAATCCATAAACCGACTCACTAAAGCTTGCTTCTTTTAAATGCATGTTTCAAGTTTCAGAGAACGGGAACCGAAATACCTAAACATATTCACGGTTGTGGAAAGGTGATAAAAAAGTGTTTTATAGCAAACAGGTAGTTAAATGTTGCATGTTATTTCTCTTTTTTGGTTAAATTAATCATAAGTATTTTTAAAACATGTCTACTTTTTCTGCTCCAATTTAGTCATACACGCGGGCTTACTAAGTACGAGCTATTTTTAAACATGGCTCTAATTCAATAATTTTTTTATATATTTTGAAAGCATTTCTTGGAGTTATGTGTAGCTCTATTCACTGAAAAACAAAACTCACATTTTTCATTTGAAATATAGTTGCTTGTTTGTGGATATTATTGGAATTAAAGTCAAATTTTAAAGGAATTCTCTATTCTTTTCGAAAAGACTTTAAATTATCTATAAAAATGAACAAAAAATGTATTGATGTCGATGTTGTTCTCCTCGATTCAACAACAAGATGTTTTCATCTTTTGGTGAGTTATATTGTAAAAATTTTAATAACTTGAACGTTATAAAATTTTACTAGAAGTATGTATATTCCTTTAAAAAGTACTTTATTGCATAGAACGGATAAATTTCAGTTTTACAGACATTCATTTTAAATCTCAATCTGGCAAGTAAATACAATTCTATCATACTTCTGACCAAGTCTTTTTGATTAAAATGCTTCAAACAGAAATCAGATTATTGCATTTATACCAGTGAATATCTCCACTGAATATTGAGTAGTTGCCACGTGAGTCAAACAGGCCAGCACTGTCATAGTCATCAATATTATTATTATCCTTTATTTCGACACATCTCTCAAATGCTTTGATTTTCATAATACTTAAGCGTAATCAGAGTTCATAACGTAAAAAAGGATTCATTATTTCTGCAAACTGTCAGCATCTTGCTTAGACAACTATTCATAAATACATGTATCTTTTCAATGACGGTTTTAGTAGTTCTCCACGTTTTGTCATTATGGTAGAACTGTCCTGACGTTTATACTGAAAATTCTGACTTTATTGTTGGTTGAGATTGGTTTTCAGTTTCAGATGTACTTCGATTTTAAGAATGCCACCGTTGCTTTACTAACTGGTGCCTATTAACCTGCTCCAGATCACCCCTGTTTATCAATCATATAGTTCAGGTTCCTGACCGTTTTACATCCACAACAGCTTCGCCATTAACTGTTGTTAGGTTGTTGCTCATTAAGCTATAAATACGAATTTTGCCTTTCCCCTTGTGTATGCTTAAACCTATTACTTTAGAGTCTATTGTAACAGTCATCGTCTTCAACATCTTTTGCTACTGTGTACGAGATAGAAAAGCCAGGCCATCTGCAAAACTCAAATTGCCCAGATGTATTCAAGCTGTCTACTTTACTCCTTGCTCAAGTCGGTAAATTAATTTCCATTTTATCTGTAACCAAACAAAGATTTTAGCCATGAAATATATTGATGTTTTTCCCGAGATGTATTATGGTTTTAGGCAACTTATATTATTATTTTCAAATGAATCGGAATAGTTTTTACACAGATCAGGTTGAAATATATTGTAACTAACTATTTCGCTCAAGAGGTTTTGAGGAAAGACATTTTTTTTTACCCAAGATATGACATTTCATGGTAAGTGAATAACTGTTAGTCCAGGCAGCGTTATGAACTTTATCTTTTCGGGTAAGCTGGAAAATTCAGGGAATAGTTGGAGTCATACAGTAATCATCAACCCATTAATTGTTCAAGTTGCTACACTTAACATAATCATAGTGAGTAAAGAAATAAGTAATATGAGAGACAAATGAAAGGAAAATATTCAAACCCTAATAATGGTTTGAACAGAGAGAATAAAGCTCGTTAGGCCAACAGCTTGAACGTTAGAAATAACATTTTAATCAATATTTAGATGGAGATAGAGAATAAGTGCATTTGGCCGACTGCAATCAATTTATGTCTAATCTTCTGATTACCTAAAATTGACGACTGGAAGTGTTTTATTGGGCATAACTAAGAAATATGCATTTACTAACGTAACGCAACCTAGCAGTCAAAGAATTCTTAGAATTATGCCCTATTTTGATCTGTTGGTTTCCGGACTTGTCACGCTTGATTGCTCCAGTCTAGCAAAGTCTAGTAAAAAACCACAACACATTGAATTATTGCACAAAATCTTTCTTCACGGAAATTTTTTGAGTATATCATCATTTATGATTAAGAACAGGTTACGCTGTAATATGTTGCTTTGTTTTGGAGGTACTCGTGTGAAGTCTGCTAAATAAAGCAAAGTACCAGGTGTTAATATAAAAGAAGATTTATTTAGGGTACAGTTGAGATGTACAGGATGTATGCTGATTTTTTTATGTTCTCTTAGTTTAGGGCACATTTTCAGTTAGCGCTAAATTTCTGTTGTCAACTTCATAAGCTTCAGTTATTTAAAGTATTATGACGTCCAAATCAGGTAAGTTTTTAAGCTCTAAATAAATCATTATCTTTCCAATGTTTTAGCACCTTATCAAATGTTCACTGTGAATCCGTTTACATCAACAAGAATAAATCAAATATTTCAAGATTCTCTATTGTTTGTAACAGTCATGTTTGAATGTTTATTCTGTTCGAATAATAAAAAGACTGATTGATTCTTACTTTTATCTCATCACTATAGTGTTAACTCTAATTCTAACCTTATGCATTCTTCAACTCCTCTACCTCTGTCTTTATAAACTTATCTCACTGAATTATACTTATCGAATCATATCTTCGTACTATAATCTTCTCCATTACTGTCAGTTCAAATCCAAGAGTGATAGCGATAGTAATGGAGAAGATTATAGTACGAAGATATGATTCGGTAAGTATAATTCAGTGAGATGAGTTTATAAAGACAGAGGTAGAGGAGTTGAAGAATGCAGAAGGTTAGAATTTCATAGAACACAAAGAGTGGATGCACCTGCGCCATTGCAAACGATTCTGAGTCATGTTGTTCAAGGTCTCTAACCATTGGTGACTTTCGTCTCGCGGACCCCAACCAGGTAGCCCCTACATCTACCAACATGACCTAGTCCACTTGTCAGTGATTTCATGGATTTCTGCCATTGTTTTGGTTTGACCATCCCTAGCTTTCTTCCAGTCTACTCCTACACCACAAAACATAGCTCGTCGAGTCAGTCGGTGGTTATGCAAATGTAACACATGTCCCAACCACCTCAACTGATGAAGTTTCACTACTTCATCTATTGATTTACCATCCCTACCTAGAGCTCGTTTCCTAACGACAACATTGCTTACACGGTTGTCCCAGGACACACAAGCAATGCTTCGTAAACACCTATGATCGAAGACTAGTAATCTACGACCTTAGACCCAATCTTACACTTTGTGTTCTTTATGTAATGCTTATAATTGCTCAATTTTATTAACTAGTCAACTGACTGATCTTTGTATTTGTATTATTCTGAACTAAACAAAAATTTTATAAACAACAATCACGGCTAATAAGTCGTCACCATTTTGTCTGTATGTATTTATTTTATCCGAATGTAAAACAGTATATCACTGTAGAACAGTGATAAAAGATTATTTTGGGAAAAATACTTCTTGCATCATCTGAACATCCTCACAGTTGTTTGTCAATAGAATATATTTTATAAGATCATTGACTTAAAATTTATACTGGACAATTTTCAAGTATCAAACGCAGCTATAAATGTATGTAATAGATGGAATAAGGTAGTGGTGACAGATTAAATAGTTTTTTCATTTACATGCTTATCTTAAGGAAGTTCATGTTGAAGAATTTAACTCCCAATTAAAGTAAATATCTAATGAATGAAATATTACACTGACAGTAGGAATTTAATAATTCTCTACTTTTATTTGTTTTGTTGTACTAGTCAAATATCAAATAATTATCAACTACAAAATAACTGAATTTACACAAGTTTCAATATATGTTTTTATGATCCTGTAAAATTAATAAAGACTTTTATGCACTAAAAGCTTATTATTTCTCCTCAAATTATGTTTTATAATGACTGGAAAGACAATTTCAACAGTTTTCCTGTTATGAATAATTTACTATTGGGTTGACATCAAAATGCATTCAGTTATCACTACATATTTAACTGAATAAAACTAATTATTAACTTTGTTTTTAAAAAATTGTTACCTGCTAAATCTTTTCCGAAATTTTAGTTTTCTTCTTGTAAAGATTGTTGAAATTATTTCTATTACCTTAATACCTATTGTAGTTTAAACATGTAAACATCTGATGGCTAATTAGTATTCCTGCTTGTAAGGAAGTAGTTTAATCACTGATAGTATTTTTATATCAATAGAAAAAGATATCCGTCGATAAGCTTCAAATGACCTTATACATACAAACTCTTCCAAAATGACAATTGCTTGTATAGTTAGGACAATCTGATAGATTCCTAAATGACAGAATTAATTTTTTGGTGTTGAAAACAAATTAGTGACTCCCTTTCAACATGATCACTAGTTGTCGATACAATAAGTTATTTATTTTATCTCTTTTTTTGGCATTGAGGATTCAAAGTTATGGCTCATCTCATGATGCAGTTTGGTGATTTCCACAATGTATGTCCTATCCACCTCTAGTGCGTTTTCTCAATTGCTTGTTCAGCTGGGATCTGGTTTTGTTCTCTCCCACAGTTGGTTGATGCTGATGGTGTCTGGCGAAAGGATCCGCAGTATCTTGTCTTGACAACTGTTAATAAATATCTGAATCTTTTGAATGACGACTTTGAAGTTATCCAAGTTTTCACTCCATACAAGAGATCGGTTTTGACGTTCAAACTGCAAATTCCGAAGTTGGTGATGGTTGACGGTGGTTTTGAGTTGCAGCTGTTCTTCATTTTTAGAAATGCTGTCCTTGCTTTGCTAATCCATGCCCTTATATCTGTATCAAACTCACCTTCCTTATCAATGATGCTGGCCAAATTTGTAAAGGCTTCCATATCTTCCAAAACTTCTCTCCCTGAGATACTGACGTTTTCGTAGTCCAGTCAAACAACAGGGAAAAAAGAGAAAGGATGAGAATGAGAAACCCTGTACGATACGAGTCTTCGCTTGGAGTGAGTCAATGACCTGTCTCCTATGCACGTTTTTGCAGTGTAGTCCGTTGTAAGAAATCCGTATGGTGTTGATTATCTTTCCAGTTACGCCATAGTGTCATCCTGTCTACGCTATCAAATGCTTTCTCCTGGTCAAGAAAGTTGGTATGTAGTAATGAGTTTCGTTTAACTGATTGTCTGACAATGATCCGTAATGTTGTGACTTGGTCGGTACACGAATAATCCTTAAGAAATCTGGCCAGTTGATTTCAAAGTTAGGCGCCTGTTAAATCTTTCATTAGGTATAACAACACTCTGTTGAAAACGTTCCCTGGTATTTAGAATAGAGTGATTCCTCTATAGCTTTCATATTTGCTTCAACGTCATTTCTTTGGTATCTTGATGGGGTGTCCTTATTTCCAGTCCGCTGGTACTAGCTCTTGCTCCTTAATCCTGTTGAAAAGAACACGCAATATTTTTGCAGTTGCTGTTATGTTTCCTTTGATTGCCTCAGCTGGAATTCTATCTGGTCCTGCTGCTTTGCCACTCCTGATTTTTCTGATGACCATGCTGATCTCTTCAACTGTTGGTAGACTAACTCTGATTGGGAGCTCTGTGTGTGCTGCTTTGATGTTGGGTGGGTTCAGTGGAGCTGGTCTCTTTAAGAATTCTTCACAGTACTCTACGCACCTATTTTACTGTTCTTGAATGTGGATGATTGCTTTGCATCCCTTGTTTTTCACTGGTCGTTCTAGTTTACTAAATTTCCCAGAGAGTTTATTCGTTGTATCATACAGTTGTCTCATGTTTCCGTCTCTTGCAGTTTTTTCTGCTGTCATTGCTAGACCTTTCACATATTTACGTTTGTCAGCTTTAATGCTTCTCTTCACTAACCTGTTTGCTTCTGTATGTTTGGCATGTGACTTGCCTCTCTCTGCTCTTGTTTGGCTGATAGTGATTGCTGCCTTCTTGTTCCTCCTTTTTTAAATCCTATCCAATGTATTCACAGAAATCCATTCCTTATGATGGTGCTTCTTGTGACCCAGAACCTCATGACATGTAGAAGTCACTGCTTCCTTGACCTCTTTCCAGTTATTTTCCACGGTAGTTTCCTCTCCATTTAGTAAATCGTGAAAAGACTGAAAATTTTACTGAGAGAGATCTTAAATTAGTTGATTCTGCCAATATTTCGAAGAAACGCCATATTAAACCTTTGTATTAATGTCCACCCAGTTGTGATTCATTGGTTTTAGTTTCATCTTGGAGACTACCTAGTGATATTCTGAAGTTACGTTAGCCATTCTCTTGGTTTTCATACTCAGCATAGTCCTTCTGAACATATAATTGATACAGATGTTATCATTTTCCTTTTCCGTAATGTGATCCGGTGCAACTCATGTAGCTTCGTGTGTGAATATGGTGTGGCCTATAACCATTGTTTGAAAGTACATAGATTCGCGAATCTCTAACTTTCGTCGTTCCTTTCTCCTAGCCCATGTACTCTTATGATGCCTTCATATCTGGTGTTGTCCATTCCAGCCTAGGCATTTCGAGCTCCCATCAGAATGGTTAAGTCCTTTGATGGGTATTTCTTGACGAATAACTGCAGCCTCTCATAGAATTGATCTTTAAAGTCTACATTACTATCGTTGGTAGGTGTGTAGTAATGAACGACGTTATTATTTTTTTAACAATAACGAACTTGACTTTGGTTATCACAAAATTAATGAATGTCTCTGATTTCAGTAGATAAATGAATGCTTTGTTATCATTTAGCTAGTTACAGTTTTTCTTTTACACTGTAAATTTTATTTACTATGTTTACATTTTGCACAATCTGTTTCATAGCCTCGTGCACTTGGTCGTGAATTGTATACAATGGTGGTTGAACATCTGCAACTAGTCGAATATGATTACTTCGATTTGGAATATATTAACAAAGATGGTCTTCACGTAAGTTGCATTAAGGTATTATTCTATTTTACATGATTACAATCCGTATCAATCCAGTTATTAGTGTGTTTAAAAAAGTGTTGTTTGGCAATAATGGCTATCTTATTGAAGAAAGTAACTATAAATGGCATGTAACTGTTTGTTTAGTTACTAAGCAAACATTATATTTCATTTGTGATCATTGGCTTAGTTAACACCAATATTTTCTTCAAAGTAATGACGATAACTTTTGCTATCGCCGGGAGAATGCTATTTTAAACGTGGTTTTTTTTACAGAAACTCATTTATGGTAGGATTTTTTAATAAAACCAGACAGACATATACAACGCAGAACTTCGTACATAAGTACATCAGTTCAGGTTGCCATACCACGTCAGCACACAGACGTAACTGTCAGTTCGAATCCAAGAGTGATAGCGATAATAGGATTATTAGCAGCAATGGAGAAGATTAGGGAGCGAAGATATGATTCGAGAAGAATAATTCAGTGAAATAAATTTAGAAGGAGAAAGGTGATGAGGAATTCAGAAGGTTGGAATTTCATAGAACACAAAGAGTGGATGCACCTGCGTCATTGCAAACGATTATGAGCCACGTCATTCAAGGTCTCTAACCATTGATGACTTTCGTCTCGCGGATCCCAACCAGGTAGCCCCTACATCTACCAACATGACTCAGTCCACTAGTCAGTGACTTCATGGATTTCTGCCATGTTTTGCTTTGGTCGCCCCTAACTCCCACACCACAAAACATAGCTCGTCGAGGCAGTCGGTGGTTAGGCATACGCGACACATGTCCCAACCACCTCAACTGATGAAGTTTCACTACTTCATCAATTGATTTGCCATCCCTACCTAGAGCTCGTTTCCTAAAGACAGCATTGCTTATAAGGTTGTCCCAGGATATGCGAGCAATGCTTCTAAGATATCTATGATCGAATACTATTAACCTGCGAATGTCCTCTAATCTTAACGGCCATGTTTCGCACCCAATAGTAGAAGAGAGCGAACTGCTGCACAGTACACTCGTCCTTTGGTTAACATGCGGATATCTCGCCTACGCCATAGGTGACGCAGGTTAGCAAAAGCCAATCGAGCCTTCTTTTTAATAAAACCACAAGTAAATGACTATTATTAATTCAATAATGATTTGAACATTCACACAGATTTGTGATTTTTTTTTCAATATCGTGTTATGTGCAGTAATCACATAATAGTTCATTCATAATTATTAATATCTTATTAAACTATAACTTTTAGGCATGTTAATTGTTATTTAGTAGGAAATGTCATCAACAGTTAGCATCACTATAGAATATATGCAAAATTTGAGATTTCCCAGCTTCATTGTTAATTTCATTAGAATTCAGTGTTATAGAAGATTATGTTTTATGTGTTTAGTGTTTTGAATTTCCTGGGGAATTCGAGAAATAATAATTCTATCAGACATCTCTCACAAAAATGATGGTTCTGACAGTCTGTTATTTTTTTTAGAATATTTTGTAAATGTTTTATGTCTAGGGTTCTATCTGTGTGTTAGGTTGTTTCGGTATGAAAGCTTTTCTCGGGTAGATAACAACACTCTCGTCTAGATGGATATTGTCTTTTATAATTGATTCATAACTAAAGCAGTGACACTGAGTGACATTTATGTCTAGTTTTCTCTAATTGTATTGTCATGTTTTGGTTTTAAAACTATGTTGAACATTTCCATTATTTAACAAATGATTTGAGTGGACATTCTTTTTTCTGGATCTTAATCAATTTATTTGTGATTTGTCAATCGATCAGATTTTAAAACGAATCGATGTCTGTAATCGGGGAATTATTTTCATGGGAGAAAAAAATGCATTGTATTGTTAAAAAACTAACTTGAATTTATTTATGTAAACAAAAGTGAAAGAAAATATTTATTTCACCAACGTAATTGTGTAGTGAAGGAGAACACAGATGAGGGCAACCGAATTGTATTTAACGAAAATTACAGAGTTACTCAGTAAAATAAGAAAACCATATCGTAACCGTTAATTTGCAAATCTTCAATCCATCATCAATCCATTGTCTGACATTTCACTTATTCATGCGTTTCATACAAATTCCATTGTGTTCCCACTCTTCCTTTCTTCTTGATGTTCCCCCATCTTCTGCTGCCAGACATTACGTTTACACTCGCGTCATATACTACTTATAAGTAGCGCGCACCACAATTGTACTAACATTTTAGTTAATTGCTCTGTAATTTCATGCCTATTGATCTTCTTGTGCATTAATCTCTTTATGTCTGCAATGAATATTGTTGCTTGACTAGGTGGTAAAATATATTGTTGAAGGGAGCAATAGTTTAATGACTAACCTGTTCATTTTACTCTATCGGTCAACTTTATGTCATGTTAATATTATTCACCGAAATATCTTGAATGTTTGTGGACATTTTAAAACATTTTGCTGAGTGTATTTAACATAGCACTTAATATATATAGAAAACATTTTTTCTATAGCAAAAATTGTTGAATTTTTTTAATTACCAACTTTCCATAATTTTTATTTTTTATTTTTTTAGTGTTGGTTAGATCATTCAAAAGCAATCAATAAACAAATTAATATTTCGAAAAGATTTCTTTATTCTTTCGTCGTTAAATTTTATACTCCTCATCCAAATTTGCTAGAAGATGAATTAACCAGGTGAGTGATTATCAACATCTTTATTTATAATTTCATTTAGATAGTTTTTTCGTGGCGTAGTTTATATTTTTACTCATCTTAAGCTGTATTAATTGTGATGCCATCTAACATAGACTGTTTTTCAGCTGATGATTAGAAACAATTAGTGAGTTGTGATTATTAACTAAATTGCTTAGAAAATATTTCAAAGTTGGAAAACTTGTTGGGGACGTTAGAACCCCAAAACTCGCTTGTTAAATGCCTTATTTTGGATTCTACGTTTGCCAGCATAGGCTGATCAGTTGACCTTGAGATTTCAATTCCCACCAGGAAAATCCATGGCTGTGATTGGCTGCTGTGTATTTTAGTGTGCTATTTTTGTGACTGTCACAACGACGTTTCTATGATGTATAAATAAACGAGAGTGGTATGCTTGATTGTATTGTGATTGCTGGGTGTTTGTAGAATATACTTTCTACGCTTTAAAAGCCTTCTTACCTTAGTTGGGGATTCAAGGTAGCCTACCTGGACGCTGGTTCATTGTCTCGTTCGCGTTTATCGACTAAGTGACGAACCCAATAAAACTTTTTACTTTTTTTGACAAAATATTTTGCAATTATTTTGATAGATTAACTTGAAGAAATGTTGTGTAAGATTATCGACTTGAATATAGGTTTTGGTAAAATGAGCATTTACTAATTACCATGTATTATCAACTACATGTTTAATCATAAAAATGCTATCACTGTTCTCAAGAGTTGATGTGGATAAATTCATTGTGGCGGATCAATGAGTTCATTGTTTTTCCGTATATATTACTGGTTGGGGTCAGCGAGATGATAGTAATCGATGGTTAGAGACCTTGAATGATATGGCTCAAAATTGTTTGCAGTGGCACAAGTGCATCCACTTGTTGTGTTCTATGAAATCCTAATCTTCTGAATTCATCATCATCTCTACATTCCTCCTTCTAAAGTTATCTCACTTCTTAAATAATATCTTCTTCGAACTATAATCTTCTCCATTATCAGTAATACCTCTACTATCTCTACCACTATGGTATTTGAACTGACAGCTGTGTCTCTGTTCTAAAGTGATGTACTTACGTAAGAGGTTCTACGTTGTAAATGACTGACTGACTGACTGAACTTGAACAGTTCAATGGATATATAGCTTTTAACAAATCTAGCTGAAACACTTGAAAATGATGTCTATAAGATAATTTTTTTCGATTTACTTAACCATATATCATAGTCCTAGTTTCGAATCCTGCGGGGTGCAGGAGTCGTGGATGCGCACTGTTGAGGAGTCCCACACCAGGACGAAACGGCCGTCTAGTGCTTCCAGGTTTCTAATGGTAATCTGACAATGATCGATTCATGGTTTCAAAAATGTGTAACTTAACAATCTTCTAATGAAAATTTAGATTGTCAATGAGAAAAAAAAGACTGAAATTAATAATTAAATAATGTTTAATGAAGTGGAAATAAAATAAAAGAATAAAAAAATCAATATGTTGTTGAATTGATAATCTGGAAAATCTGTTTACTAATCAATTTAATATTCATATTGATCTAGGGTAGAATACATAGTATTTTCTTGGCTTTCAATATATCGAATATAGACAACTATAACTAGCGTAAGCAGTTTTTTTTCGGTATTAAGCTAATTTACTTTGAGTTATAATAACTTAGAAATTCGCTGTTTCTTCAACTTCTTTGATCATATTTTATTCTCATAATAATTAATTAAGAAGCATTTATCTTAACGAATGAATGAATATTCTAATAATTTTACTTTTATTCTTTATAATGACTATTTTTTATTGTAGAACAACAACTTTACTACAACTATTCAAGTTAATAACCTGTTTTATTAAGCTGTTAGTCATTCTATGTTGATACTGTTTATGAAAAGGAAAATTCTCACAAAACTTTTTAATGAAACTGAAAAATGTTTATTATTCATTTTAGTTTCTTCTTATTCATTAGACTGTACAAATTTTACATGTTTTTTCTTCCTGACAACTGTATTCTTTCAGTCTTGTAGAAACTGTTTGATTTGGAAGAGAAATTTGACATATATATATATGAAAATAAATTTGATTCAATAATTCTCTCTGTGTTGATATGACAAATTTTTTTCAAAAGCTATTATGTATAGAATTAGCAAAACAAAGGTGTTATTAATTTTATCTTTTTTGAAACCATGAATCGATCAATGTTAGACCACCATTAGAAACCTGGAAGCACTGAAAGACGGCCGTTTCGTCCTGGTATGGGACTCCTTCAGTGTATGAGGTTGCGCAACTCCGTAAATTTGATCAAGTTATACATTAGCACCGTTAGATACCGGCTCAGTGGTCTAACGATTAGGGCGTTCACGCACAATACCGAAGGTCCTGGGTTCGAATCCTGCGGGGTGCAGGAGTCGTGGATTCGCTCTGCTGATGAGTCCCATACCAGGACGAAACGGCCGTCTAGTGCTTCCAGGTTTCTAATGGTAATCTAACAATGATCGATTCATGGTTTCAAAAATGTGTAACTTAACAATCTTCACAACCCCGTAATGCAAATAATTTTATCAACGTCATAAACTGATTGTTGTATTTTGATTTTATAGAATTTTTTTCACTAATCTGATTAGTTGAGAAACGTCAACGAAGATTATTTCATTATTATCTGATAAATTGTTTTACTAATTATTCTTTTGTTGGTTTTAATTTACCACCTATTATATACATATGTATGTAGTGAAGGAGAACACAGGTGAGGGCAACCGAATTGTATTTAACGAAAATTACAGAGTTACTCAGTAAAATAGGAAAACCATATCGTAAATCGTTAATTTGCAAAATATCCGTTCGTCATCAATCCATTGTCTGACATTTCACTTATTCATGCATTTCATACAAATTCCATTGTGTTCCCACTCTTTCTTTCTTCTTGATGTTCCCCCATCTTCTGCTGCCAGACATTACGTTTACACTCACGTCATATACTACTTATAAGTAGCGTCCACCACATGTATACGTATATATGTCTAGCCATTATTGAAATTTAAATCAAATAAAATTGACCCTATTTTAAAAGGTTCCATTAAATTTCACCAATCGTTATATATATATATATATATATATATATATATAATACTGATTAATATTCATTCTCCAAGCTAAAAATGTGTACTCTGACATTAAAAGCAAAAGGCCTTAATGATCTATGTAAACTTTAATGATGATAGAATATATACATACATGAACAAATATGATTGTTTGTTTGTTTTTTCCCGCTAAACTATACTATTTCTCAAATTTAATTTATTGACTACTTTCAGATATCTATTTGCTTTACAAATCAAAATTGATTTACGTTCTGGACGATTACAATGTAGTGAAAGTACTGCTGCTCTTCTAGCAGCTTTTATTGTACAAGGTGAGTGAGTGAGTGATGTCAGAAAATTTTTACTTCATATATGAATCTATGTATGTGTATTTGTGAAAAAAAATGAATTGTATTTTCATTTTTATTATGAAATATCATTTATATTAGGGTTCATGTTTGATATTTAAAAAACGTTTTTTAAAAATTCTTCACTATTGCCCAAATTAATAAACATTAGAAATATTTTTAAAAAAATATTTTTATATTAATTTATTAAAAGTAATGTTTATTACGGTAGTATAACACAAAGTTTATAAGAATTTTATTTAAGTTCTACACATTGATCATTTACTTTACAACGACGGTATTGTAAAAACCCGGAATATTCAATCGAAGTTTATGAAAATGTTTAATAATCATCTTAAACTAGAATTTCTATTTCATTCAATACACATTCGAAACCATCAATCAATCATTGTTAGACCACAATTAGAAACCTGGAAGAACTGGACGGTCGTTTCGTTCTGGTATGGGACTTATCAATAGTGCGCATCCACGACTCCTGCACCTCGCAGGATTCGAACCAAGGACTTTCGGCACTGTGCACGAACGTCTAACCACTGGACCACTGGACCAGCATCCAACGGTGTTAATTTCTAACTCTGATTGATCTTTGGGATTTCGCGCGACCTCACTCATTTGTCATCGGTCGTTACTGACTACACCTGACAGGGTTGATCTCCACTCGTCACGTCTTCCAGGTTTCTAATGGTGATCCAACAATGACTGATTGATGATTTCAAATGTATAAAAACACTAATCTCCATAACTCCAATTGGAAGTATCATTAATAATAATAATAATAATAATAATAATTTCCATTGTAAGAGTTTTAAATATTATACATTTGACTATTTTATTGATGAAAATAATTTTTTTCGCGCACAATAATAAACTCATTTATCATTTATGCGTACATGAATGCATTTAGTTTTTTTTTAATGCTAATTTCAATTAAATAATTTTTCTTTTTTTTTTAACTGTAAGTAGTTTGTGTTTAACCAAAAAAAAAGTACAACAAAAAAATAAAACAGATCAAATTATCTTGTAGATCTAAGTTGATAATTTTTAATGGAAATTTTCGCCTGAAAATGTTGTTCGTTTAAAGTTTTTACTTTTTATTATTTTTTTTTCGTGATTGTCGGATTGCTTAATGAACTTAGTAGTATTTAAACAAATCTATTAAACAAAAATACAATATCAGATTTTTAAAACATTCATTAAGATACAGTAGATTTTGTATTTGCTTGTGAAATAGTATGTGATTTAATCTGATTTTCAATGATTTCAGAACGAAAAGAAAAACTAAGCAAAACGTAAAGATTGTGGTTTTGAATTTTTACTGCATGACAGTGAATTAATCTGATTGTCTTATCAAGTATTTCAATTTATTAGTTGTAGTGAAAATTCATGTTCCAATCTTTGGCATAAATATCTGGTTAAGATAAGAGATTTGTCTTCTCTTTTTTTTAAAATCGTAATTATTGAATCTTGAAAATATAATGATGAATATTTTTTCATAAAAAAGATTAAATTAATTTGGCGTAACCAATAAGAAATACTTCTGTTTGTAATAGTTTATTCAAATTCAAACATAATGGAACAAAATAATTTGTTCAGAACTTGCCCTAAATAAATAGTCGGCCGCATTGTTGAGTAGAACAATGAACAATCTGCCTTTTTACATGAGTAACACTATGACTTTTATAGATTTCCACTCACTTGAACTGACTGATAATGAATGATAATTTTGTACAAATTTCATGAATAATGGAAGTTGGTTCATTTTAGTATCATAAAATGTTAAAGTTGACTGATTTCGCTTTTACATGATAAAAGTAAGCGATAATAATTGGTCATTTATTATTCAACGCTAAAAAATTGTGACATTTGTCGCAGGATATACTAACATCTTAGTTTAAAAATATTTGTGCGCAGTTAAAACTACAATCGTCTATTAGTATTCATTCAAAGTGTCTGGAAAATGTATATTGACTAATGTCTACATTTTTTTTTCTGAAAGTTTTAAGGAAGAGAAAGTGTTTTTTAGGAACATTTTTTTTCGTGCAGAATGTTTTTTTGTTAAAAATGAGTATTATCCTTTATTACTGTTATTATTTTTATCGTTTTTATTGATTTTTACAGCAAAAAAAAGCCGTTTGAATGAACAGAAGCTTGTAAATGCTTATGTAGTTTAGTTTAAAAAAAAACATTATTGTGTCATTTTACAGACTTGTTCTTTTTTCAATGTTAACAATACAAATGTATTTTTTTCTCATAAGAAGAGAATATTATTCGTGGTTTACCTATGATCTCCATAAAATTCAAACTGCTGCAATATATATATATATATACATATATACATATATATATATATATATATATATATATATATACATATATATATATATATATATGTGGCTGAAAATATCAGTCTCATCAAATCAGTAGAGTTGGTAAATTTTTTCCCTAATTTTTGTAATCTATCGTAGGAGTTAGAGTTTATGTCGATTATTTAATCTGATAATGAAGTTATTTTATGTAAAGAATAAAATGTAAAAAGTTTCATCGAATCCAAAAACAAAAAAATTATGAACTGTTAGTAGTTACATAATTTAGACATTTTTGCCTCTTGTATATATCACGACGTGGGATAACATCAATATGCATTAAATACAATGTGGTTTTTTAAAAAAAATGAAAAAGAAAAAAAAACAGTTTCAAATTCATCTCTCTATAAACTACTACTACTAATTATTGATAAGAAAAATTCTGCTTCCCTATATATATATAATCTGTAAACCAATGAATTTAACCAATAGCTTGGCTAAATTAATGAAATTTTCGTTGTACAAGTCGATAATATTCATTTTACTTCTAGATAGATACAAAAAAACGAAAGTTTATTTATAGACTAAAAAACTGTCTCATGAGTTTTGTCATCCTGGAAAATCTCATTTAGATCAAAATCAATTAGCATCAAAACAAATCGCATAAGATGTTGTCAAGTAAGTTACTTAGACTATCAACCAACCATATTAGGAGTCGAATGATACATAGTTAGTTCAATACGAAACAAGTACAACTGTATTTACGACTAAATGATCAATCCAATGTAAAATTGTCTGTGTTTTTGTTTTAACGTAAGCGACCTTGAGAATCTATAGACTTATTTTGTTGAATACATTTCTATTATATAAATAGCATGATGGCGTTATGGAAGAAATGAGAATTTTGCCAATTTGAAAAAGAATTAATAAATTAAACTGATTGTTTGTTTTAAAATATATCTGTTCACTTTAAACTAATTTGCATTGAAATTTAATGGAGACAGAAAAGGAAATAAAAAGTGTAATTCACAAACAATGAAGATAAATTTACGAATTGAAATTCTCTTAAATTAGAAATAGTTGATAATTACAAAGTGGACCGTCTATTTCCTTATGTTTTTTTTTCTGTATTTGCGTACGAATGTATGCTACTTATACAATAAGAGATAGCATGCAAAGTAGTTAAAACTTTCTAATTCGAATTAGGTATATTTCTTGTAGTGTTTTATCTAGGCTAATCATAGATAATGATAATTGATGAGCAAGGTGGATCCAATGCATATATGAAGGCGCGGATAGGCAGAGCAACGATAGCGTTTCTACAATTGAACAACATCTGAAACTCCAAACAACTATCAACCAACAACAAAATCAGAATTTTCAATACAAATGTCAAGACAGTTCTACTGTATGAAGCGGAAACTTGGAGAACTACGAAGGCCATCATCCATAAGATACAAGTATTGATTGACAGTTGTCTATGCAAAATACTTCGGATTCGTTGGTCAGACACCATCAGCAACAACGTACTGTGGGAGAGAATAAAACCAGATTCCAGTGGAAGAGGAAATCAAGAAGTAGCACTGGAAGTGAATAGGACACACACTGCTGAAAGAACCCAACTGCATCAGAAGACAAGCCCTCACTTGAAAACCTCAAGGTCATAGGAAAAGAGAAAGGCCATTGAAAACATTACTCCGAAAAGTTGCGACAGATATGAGAAGAATGAAAGAAAATTAGACAGAAACGGAAAGGGAAGCTCAGGACAAAGTAGGCTGAAGAATACCGGTTGGCGGCCTATGCTCCATTAGAGGCGACAGGAGTTAGTAAGAAAGTATATCAGCTGACAAACAAAATAAATTGTTTTATCAAACAAAAAAGTACTTCTTGGCACAAATGTTTCGAGGCAAAACTTTAATACTTGATGTAAATAACGAAAAACTATGTCAAATTTTCCTTACTTTTTACTTTGATACTTCACTGAACGTTTTGAGATTATAATTTGTTTGCAAAGGAAACCTTTTTGCCGTAACTGATGGAAATCAATATTCCCTGGTGTGACACTTAGACTGTTTTTTGTCTGGGTTCTTAAGTACTTTACACAATGAATCTAGGCAAATCTTGTCTAGCTATTCTATTATGAAACTATTCAGTAAAATGTAGTTTTAATAAGTGTGAAATGAATAATTTCTCATCAGTACATCATGAGCTACTATTATCATAAAGAATAACTGGTTTCCAGATAACAAAAAATCTCTCTCAACAACTTAAAAACTATATGCATCAAGTAACAACTGGATAATAATTGTTAGTTATTTTAAACTAAACTAATATCCTAAAGACTGTCGTATTTAGCTCAGAAAGAAACACATTTTGCTGTTTTTATGAAACTTTGATATATTTCTACTACTATTAGCTTTAGTGTAAAAACAAAAGCTGTTTGCTTGCTCATTATTCAACATTACACTGTTCAGTAAGTTAAATAACAGTGTTGAAATTTTCATAGACATTAAACAAATAAACACCTTTTGTTGACAAAAGTATTTATATTTGAAACTTACATCAAGTGTTTTTTTTTCATTGTTTACACTTGTCATACCGACTTTCCCTTAATGATATACATTACTTAAACTTTTACCCAGATAATAATCTAATTTTTTT